TTGACCTTACATTATCCAATATGTCACCTTCAAGCCAGTTCAACTCCAAGGTGACCCCACTTACCTCCCCCCCCAGGTGGATATATCTGGTTTGGATACTCTGATGTATGGCAGTGGGTTTCTACAGATGACGGACAACCTACGGACCAAAAAATATGTCATTGATTCCTTGTAGTTCGGTTGTTTAGAGCTAATTATAAAAAAAATTATCGGAAGAAACTTTATGTGTGAGTTTTGATAGTCAAGAATCTTATTTAATCCTCCATCTCTGCATCTATTAAACTCACAAACATTGTGATTTGTTTAGCACATTGAATGCAAACTTTAGGTCCTATTGTCCTGTTCTCAATCACAAAATGGAAATCAAATGCAAATATTCTGTGTAACTCATGAAGTGTTGTAAATTGTGATGCTCCAATGTCTATGGCCATACTATCTTGAACACGCCCAATCTCGTCTGATCTCGAAAGCTAAGCGGGAGGGTCAGGCCTGTTCTGTGAGTAGGGGGCAAAGGGGTGGAGCTGGTGCGGAGGCTGAAGGAGAAGCTGTTTGTGGAGACAAAGCGGAGACGGTTTGTGAGATAGGATCTGAACAAGGACAGAACCATGTAAAGATTGAGGTGAGAGGAGAGATGGTGGAGGAGTTTGGAAAGGAAAGGGAGGTTGGAGATGGGGCAGTTGTTGGAGAGCAGAGATGGGCCCAGGGAAGGTTTTTTGAGGACAGGGATGATGCCGGCTACTTGTAAGATGGTGGTAATGGTGCCAGTTGACAGGAAGAGGTTAATGATGTTGGTGAATGAAGGAAAGAGATGGAGCTGGGAGGTAAGGAGAGGGGTATCGATGCGATCAAGGGAGCAGGTGGTGAGTTTCATGTGGATTATAATGTGTTGCGAGAGGGGAAGACAGGTTAGAAGGTGTGGAGGAAGGGATGTGGAAGTGCTAGCGGTTGGGAGGGCAAAGGCAACTGAGCGGATCCTCTTGATTTTGGTTTTGAGGAAGTCCAGCATTTCCTGGCTGTTGGCATTGGAGGTGAAGATGGGCGAGGAGTTAGAAGGTTGGTGGTGGAGACGAGAAGCCTGGGGTTGTCCTTGGCCTCCCAGATTATTTTGGACCAGAAGGATGATTTGCTGGAGGTGACGGCAGAGGCGGTATGTTTTGATGTGGTCCAGCCAGATCCGTCAACGGACCATTACAATAAACAGACCCCACTTACATCCCCCCCCCAAGGTGGATATATCTGGTTTGGATACTCTGATGTATGGCAGTGGGTTTCTACAGATGACGCGACATTTCCTTGGACCCAGAAGCTGTAGTGGTTTAAGTGTTGTCCATTCTGATGCTCTAATGCCTACGGCCATACTACCCTGAACACGCCCGATCTCGTCTGATCTCGGAAGCTAAGCAGGGTCAGGCCTGGTTAGTACTTGGATGGAGACCGCCTGGGAATACCAGGTGCTGTAGGCTTTTTCTTTCAACCAACACCAGACATGGAGAAAAACTCATTTTCAACACACATACAACATTCCTTTTCATTTAAGCTGGAATTCCAGTCAAATTCTCTTCATATCATGATGAGCGTTTGCTCAATTCTGACCTTACATTATCCAATATGTCACCTTCAAGCCAGTTTGGATACTCTGAAGTATGGCAGTGGGTTTCTACAGATGACGGACAACCTACGGACCAAAAAATATGTCATTGATTCCTTGTGGTTTGGTTGTTTTGTCCGAATTTTAAAAAAATTATCACAAGAAACTTTATGTATGAGTTTTGATAGTCAAGAATCTTATTTAATCCTCCATCTCTGCATCTATTAAGCTCACAAACATTGTGATTTGTTTTGGCAAATTGAATGTAAACTTTAGGTCAGGTGCTGTCGGCCTTTTTTAAAAAACACTAGAGATGGAGAAAAACTAAACTTGAACCAACATGAAACGTTTCTTTTCATCTAAGGTGATATTCAAGTTGAATTTATTTTATGGTAATGGGTTTATACAGATGACGGACATCCCTACAGACTAAAAAATATGTAATTGTGGATTGGTTGTGAAGTCCTAATTTTAAAAAAAAGCTTTATTTATGAATTTTGATAGTCAAGAATCTTATTTAATCCTCCATCTCTGCATCTATTAAACTCACAAACATTGTGATTTGCTTGGCACATTTAATGCAAACTTTAGGTCTTATTGGCCTGTTCTCAATCACAAAATGGAAATCATGTATTCTATTTCACTCATCAATGGACTAATTCAGTATAAATGCAACATGTTCAAAATTCACTAATTATAATTTAACTGATTTCACTGTACAGATCCTAAACGTCTTTATTTCCTCATGTTTAACATGTTCAGCATCCTAAACAACTGTACATGAATTCCTACAGTTCATTACATGGAAAGTATTCTGAAATGGAAATGCAGTCAAACCTGTTCTCATCATCCATTCAGGGGCCTGGACCAAAGTCATGTTTATATAAGGGTGTCCTCTGAGTAAGGGTTTGTTGGTTCATTGACCTGGACCAAATATTTTCACAGGACTGTGTTTAGACTCCTGTTAGATTCCTAGTTCATTTACTAATGAGGCAGGGAGCTATGGGCATCACATGGCTGCTCAGCACGACATTGGTAAATGCGCTAGGTGTCAAAAATGGTTATTTTTCTGACTGGAGGAATTGTGATTCGTGTTCCCCAGGGGTCAGTATTGGGACCACCGTGCTTTTTGATCTATATAAATGACCTGGACTTGGGTATTGGGAGTACAATTTCCAATTTTGCAGATGATAGATACTAAGCTAGAAAAAGTAGTAAACAGTGAGGAGGATAGTAGCAGACTGCAAATGGACATAGACAGACTGGTAAAATGGGCAGACATGTGGCAGATGAAGTTTAATGTGGTGAAATGTGAAGTGATTCATTTTGGAAGGAAGAATGAAGAGAGGCAATATAAGCTGATGGTACAATCTTAAAGGGGGTGAAGGAACAGAGAGACCTGGGGATTCATATAAATAAATATTTGAAGGTGGCAGAACAGGTAGATAAAGCTGGTAAAAAGCATACGGGTTACTAGGCTTAATAAATAGGGCCATAAAATACAAAAGTCAATGATAAACCTTTATAAAACACTGGCTAGGCCTCAGCTAGAGCACTGTTTTCAGTTCTGGACACCATACTTTAGGAAGGATGTCAAGACATAGCAGAGGGTGCAAAGGAGATTTACCAGGATGGTAACTGGAATGAGGGACTTCAGTTATCAGGATAAACTAGAGAAGCTAGGGTTATTCTCCTTGGAGCAGAGAAGTTTAAGAGGAGACTTAATAGAAGTTTTCAAAATTCTGAGGGGATTCGATAGGGTGAACAAGGAGAAATTATTTCCAGTGATGGGTCAGTTTGTAACCCGAGGACACCAATTTAAAATAGTTAAAAGAAACAGAGGTGAGGTGAGAAATGTTTTCACACGGCAAGTTGTTCGGATCTGGAATGCATTGCCTGAAAGGTTGGTGGAAGCTGATTCGATCACAACTTTTAAGAGAGCAGATAATTATTTGGGGAGGACAAGTCTGCAGGGCTATGGGGAGAGAGCGGGGGAGTGGGATTGAATTGAATAGGTCTTTTCAAAGAGCCGGCACAGACACGATGGGCTGAATGGCCTCCTTCTGTGCTGTATGATTCTTATCATTCTAGCGGGAGTCTCCACACACACAAATTGCTCATGTATTACACTTCAGTGTACTTTCCCCATTGAGCTAGTTAGATCAGAGGAAAAGGAAGTGGGGCAGGTTACAAACTTTTCCTGAAGTACTTAAGCATGTTGAAGAAACGGCTTTGAAGTGAAGTTGTTATAGCCCCTGTGCACACCGCAACCATCAGATAGCATTAGATATCAAGCATAACACAAGAATAGAATGTAGGATTAGGCTTTAATTATTGTTTATATTTCTGAATTACGTGAGTAGTAACATAACACTCATTTTCAGGGAAATGCCCTTGGGATCCAGATTTGACCTAGTCGAATAATCTTCTATTTTTTGCCTCAAGTGATTTATTGTCTCTCGGTGATTTATTGTCATTAAAGGACACCAATCCTACTGTTTTTCATCATTTATCTCTGGCAATGTGGTAAACACATCAAAAACAAGTCCAAGAAAAGAATGTATCCACTTTATTTGTTTTCCAGTAAATTCATTACAGCAGGAACTGTCCTATTGACTCCCAATGACCAGTTTAAATCTGTTGAGGAGTTCAGAGGAGCTGGTATTGGGAAGGGAGGTAGGGATGTGCCACATTACCTTTTGTTCTGTCCTCTCTACACTGGCCTGACTCTGTGGTTTCAGCTCTTTTTGTGATCCTACTTTACATTTGTTTTGCTTGGGGATCCAAAGATTGAGCAAGATGATAATCTATCCATTGTTATTTAATGTATCTACATAGAACACTGCCTTTGCACATTTACTGTAGCTTTACGTATTCATAGCTTCCAATAAGTTATCAAATAGACCTGTTAGTTTTTATTCATCTCATTTAATACAATCATATAAAAATGCATAAATAAAGTTGCATATAATCAGGACACAATAGCCTCAACAACATTTAGTAATTTTATTTTTGTTATGACATTTCTTAATCATAAAAAGATTTTCCACACAATTTTCTGATATTTACAGTTTAGAAAGTGATCCTTTAATCTCTGTCTGAATTGTAAGAGTTAAATCTACTACAACGCACAACTTCATGCAATTTATTTGAAGTCTACTTTACTAGGAGGTGTGAGAAAAGGCAATATATGATGTGGTTATTATCACATTAAACAACAATTCAGTCAAAAGCTATCAAGCTATAGTTGGGCTCAAAGGCTGCTCAAAATATCTGATCTCAACCAACTTTGTATTGAGAGGTGCCATTCTTTCCAGCTGTGGAGCACTGTATTTTAAGGTGCAGATACTGTCTTATTAACTGGTGTTAATTGTAACAAGTGTCACATTTCTCTTCCCCCCACCATTAGAACACCTGCATTTAACTTAAATGGCGACCAGTACAAATGACAATATATCTGCCTACACATCTCATCATCCTCAGTACACTTCTGTACTTTGAAATAGCAATATAAACCCTAAAAGACTATGTCCAATAACATTCTGACTTTGTCCCATTCAGTGCTTCTGATTCTATGGAATATTCCTCACATGGATCAGAGTTGTCCTCATCTACAGAATTTCATTAGGGCATTACAGTATTTTTACTCTACATAAAATACATTTTAAAATAGATTTTTTATTATCAATATATAGTCACACATATCTGTTTAAAAAATCACAGGAATAGAGAATTATTTTAAAGAATATAACTGTAGGGGAAATATCTTTCAATTCTGTGTGCGTCTTTGTCAAATTGGGGAGNAAAAATTACTTGTGGGAAATATTTAAATAGCTGTCTTTTCTCTGTATTTCCCATATCAACTTGTCCACTACCTCCACTCATCAGGCTCTGGCCTGCTCCACATCCCCCGCCTGGCTCGCCCCACCAGTCGGGGCTTCAATCTCTCTGCCCCCACCCTGTGGAACTCAATCCCACAGTCCCTTTGCCTCGCTTCTTCCCTTGCCTTCTTCAAGGCACGTCTCAAGACCCTCCTCTTTAACTGCACCTTTGGCCACCCTCCTACCCCTGCCCTCCCTGCCCTCCGCCTCTTCTGATCCCAACCCTCTGCTCGGGTTCAAATCCCTGACTACCCAGTGCTTTGGAATATCCTCCCGATGTGAAAGGCGCTATACAAATGTACATTGTTGTTGTTGTTTGGAGATACTCTACAAACTGCAGGGAATACCTCAGCTGGTGCCATGGATAGGAATTGCCAACAAACCATTCCAACAGGAAAAAAAACTCCTTGTTGGTCCTACTTGCTGAGGTGCAGGCAACCAAAGGTAGAAAACACAACCTCGTCTGACTGCTGTCTACCTGGGTAGTGTCAAAGCCTCCCTTCTGGCAGGTAGATAGGAACGAGCATCAATCACACTGTAACCAACACCTCCATGAGAATGGTTAACTCCTGTTGGTTGTAACACATCATTTGAACATTTGTACAAATTGATTTTATTGTTTGGTGATTCAGGTAGATCAAGAAAAACCTCCCGTTCCACCACTGGCCGCTATTTCAAAGAAACAGGAACTTTTCATCCCACTTATCTTGCTTCCCTAACAACATTCATTTTTATGTTTAATTGACTATTATTCTTCAATGTGAAAAGCACAACACAAATGTGAGTTTTGTTGTAACTGAATGTGGAGGATTATGTGATTGGAAGAGGGATTTGCTGTTCCTTGACTGATTTTGGAGGATTAAAGTGGTCTTCAACCTGCACTGTTCTGACAGGGAATTGCCCCCAACCCTTCCCTCAAGTTGTTTTAGTATGTGCTTTTTTAAAAAAGGTAAAAATAATTTCAATCTGTGTTGGGAGAGAGCAGAAGGATATTAGGTGCTCAGTTATCTTCTCAATTAAACACGGCACCATGATCATTGACATTACTTGTCTTCCTGATCCTCATCCTGACTATGAACCGAAGAAAGGGTCAAAGATTTGCTTCTCGTAGCTTGATTTCCCTTTATCTTGTTAATAAGGTCCATCGGTCTTTTTTTCCCAGCTTCCTGGTTGATTGTCCCATATGCAATAGCAAGTCAATTTTTTAAAAAATTAAGATCTGTTTCAGACAAAAATAAAAGTTACCAGAATATTCCAAACTGTTGCTACAATATCATACAACAACAATGTTACATTTATTTAGCACCATTCACATCGGGAGATCATCCCAAGGCATTGCAATAATCAAGGGGTTACACCTGAGTTGGGGATTGGATTTGGGAGGGTTGGGGGGGGGGGGGGAAGCAAGATGACTGAAGGTACAGTTAACGAGGCAGGTATTCAGACAGAATTGAGAAGGAGTGGAGGGAAAGGGTGAAGCCAAGGAGTTCCAGAGAGTGGGGGTAGGTAGGCTGAGAGCTCGACCACCAATCCTGGGGTTGGCAGGGCAGGAGACATAAGCAAGCCAGTGCCTGCCTACAAAACTACAGTGGCTAAGTAGGCTATAACTAACATGCTACAGTGAACATCGCAACATTACAGGACAGATTCCTTACAAAGGAGTTTTGTTGCACAACATCTCAAATTAAACCCTACTTTACATGATTATCCACTTATCTTAAGATATGAAACATTTCCAACAGCGATGTGTCTAGGGGAAGCATTCCTGCCCATCATTCAGTAAACCAGCATTTGCAATGAGTTAATAAACTGTTTAACACTCACTTTTTAATCATTCTTTGAAGTAATTTCCTTGAAAACAAGAAATACACAGCAGCAGTGTTACAATTTAAAGTGATGATTAACACATAATAGATATATTTTCCAAAGTCAAGTTTTTAAGAAAAATCTGCCTTCACTTCCAGAAGACTTCTTCCTGGGGCTATGCTTTCATGTGCTCTGATCACCATTTTAACTCGCTAAAGTAGCCAATACTCATGCGTGGGGCATGATTCAAGTTTCAGTAACTTGCTCGATAATGGGTGTGCATCAGAGCAGAGTCCAGTCCTGTCCTGGCCCTCATACAACGTTCTCCAACAAGGGATATTGGATAATGATCCTTCCTTTTGACGTACCACTGATAATGTTAAAACTTCTCTAAAGCACAGTATCACAATTACCATTAAGTGTAGTGAATGTGTATGTGCAAATATGGCACCTAATTTACATACAGCAACTTTCCACAAAGAGAAGGAGAATGATCCATTCATCTGGAGAACAGGACTTCACTTTTTGAAATAGTGTCACGGGATTCTTTAACATCCATCTGAACAAGCAGACAGGATCTCGGTTTAAATCTCTCTGAAGGATCTGTAGGATGGCACCTGCCACAATGCAATCCTTCTCCTCCACTGCACTGGACTGTCAACCTGGAACGGTGAATTCTTGTGACAAGGAGCAGGAACCCTGGCTGATTTCCCTACTCAATCCAGAGAATTCATGCCAATTGCAGCTCCAGCACAGGCCAGAGGTTACGAATGGAACCTATATGATTCAGACACCCACTGGATAAACTCACCGAGCCATCGGAGAATACAATATAAACCCTTTTTTTGTTGAGTCTGCATTGACAGAAATCGTAGCTATCCATTATCTTTCTAAATGTTTTAAATTGCACTCATCTCCTTTTGACCAGTTAGTCCATTGCAACTTTGCGGTATTCAGTGTTAATTCTGATTGTTTAGCACTAATCAGTAACATCCATTAAATCTATATGAAATTTATAACAACCTATAATCCCTACATTTGATACAATGCCTTTCACATCTCAAAAGTGTTTACCAGAATTTATTGTAAAGAATAGTGACTACGAAATCTATAGGCAAATTTTCCTTCCCCGAGATATATGTTAACATTTAAATACTGCAATAGCTTTATCACCAGTTAGAATTAAGGTTGGATTATTTAATAATAATTATAAAAATAATCCTTAAGTGTAAATCCCTAGTATCTCTGACTGTACTTATAATAATCTTTGCATTTGATGTAGCGCTTTTCATGTCTTCTAGTCTTGGAGTGATTGATCATTTTTGTTTAGGGAGATTGTTGGCCAGGACACCAGGAGAAACTCCCTTCTCTTTTTCAACATAGGACAACATGCCATGGGACCTTTAACATCCACCTGAACGGGCAGACAGGGCCTCAGTTTAACATTGAGAAGCATCTGAACCTCTAAGATTTAGTACCTCATAAGAAAATGTTCTTACATGCAACAAGCCTGAGCTGCTATGTTCACTTCTCCAGTTCCCAATTGCAACCACCAGTGCTCAGTGGCACCAAGTGGGCACAATTGAAACTGCATTGAAATACTGCTCAGTTCTTTGTCCACCAAACAAAGTTAGAAGAGTCAGAGCAGAATGAAGCGATAGTTCAAGCTATATGTCCTCAAACTTCAAAAATAAATGTTTCAAAACTAGCCTCAAATAAGCTCGGTCTCTTAATCAGTAATACTCTAATAAATAATAATGGTAATCCTTGCATTTGATATAGCGCCTTATCACGTCTTAGAGACGTCTCAAAGCGCTTCGCAGAAAATACAGTACAGTGAATTGATTGTATATTTGTGGGTGAAACGCGACAGCCAATTGCACACAGCAGTGTCCCACAAACAGTTGTGGATTAAGGGACCAAATTTTTTTTAAGGATTATTATTCCTGGAAAAGCAACCCACCAATCGACTAACTGGGTTCCTACTTACTACTAAGTAAACAGGCATGTGGAGGAAGGAAACTTGTCCAAAATTTTGCCCTGCCGGGAATCAAAATCAGATCTCTTTCTTGCGAGGTGAGTTCTCTAACCACTGAGCTACAGGATTGATACTTGAGGGATACTTGAGGGATTGATAGTTCAAATAGCCTTTGTCTGTGCTGTAATATTCTACAATTCTAATGGCAAATCAACCCAGAGGATCTAAGAGAGCCTGAACTCCGGTTGGAAGGCCAACACTTGTTCTCTGACCCAAAATAATCATAAAATGCACACCTACCTCTGTTTGTGTAGGACGTAGGATGTCATGGGTTTTAACACCAGAAGGAAATGCAGATTTTGCTGTATCTGTAAAATATTGCAGATCAGAATTTAGTTACCTCTACTCTACATTGTTTATCACTTAAAGGCCTGTGTGCCAAAGAGTCAGCAGAAAATGAAACAAGTTGTACTTACACAGCACAGCTGTAAACACTAGTGTAGAGGTGAGCAAAGTCGTACCTAGTCCCCCTGAGAACCACCTGCAAGAAAGCCAAAGCAAAAGGTTACTACATGCAACGTTTGCATTTATATAGCTCCCTTCACGTGCGATAGCGTTTCGAAGCGACCTTAACAGCGGTGAAGCAAGAGATCTTGCCAGAGTGGGGGAGGGAGTGGGGGGAGGAGCCCTCGGTACAGTCGAATAGGAAGGACTTCAGCTGCAATCTGAAGACTAGCAAAGAAGGTGCAAGGAAATAGGGATTGAGGCACAGTGTTCCAGAGTTTCGAGGCAAACTGAAAGTACAGCCAACAATAGAGTGGAGAGAACAAGGGATGTGCAGAAAGCCAGAGCCAGCTCAGCGAAGGACCTGGGTAGAGGAGAGGGGTGTGAGCAGGTTGGAGAGGTGGAGAGGTGCTTGAGCATGAAGTCATTTATAGCTGAACGAGGATATTGATAATCAATAAATTGCACACATTTGGAACAAGAGTCTGAAACAACAATAATTTGCATTTATATAGCGCCCCTCACACAGGCTAGAGTCCCAGAACACTTGACCGTGGCGGAGCATGACTCCAAGCCGGGGGGAGATGACAGTAGGCACGGTCAAACAGGAAGCTCTCCAGGAGCAACATGAATATGGGGAAGGAAGGGACAAGGAAGGCAGAGGGATAGAGGAAGAGTGTTCCAGAGTTTTGGGGAATGCGCAGCCACTAATGGTTGAATGGAGGGCATGAGGGACATGCAGAAGGTCGGAGACAGTTAAGCGGAGGCAGTTTAATATCAGTGTTCACATAATTACTGTACCTTACAAACACAGCAACACATACACAGAGAGTCAGAATAATCAGGTAAAAAAAGAAATTCTTCACAGCTGCAGCATCTGAAACAAACAAATTAGGCTGTTAATTTCATGCTGATGCTTAACTTTCTGATCAGAGAAAAATCTTTTTCATTGACTAATGAAAAAAAAATGCATGCTGTAGATCAAACACAACAACAACAACAACAAGATTCCATTTATAGAGCGCCTTTCACGTCGGGAGGACGTCCCAAGGCGCTGAATCACCAAACTAACTTGCACTTATATAGTGTCTTTCACAAAGGAAAACATCTCAAAGTATTTTGTAGAGAATGTACGGGAAGAGAGGTAGGGTAATCAAAGACAGGTTTTGACAGGATTTCACTGGAGAGAAGGCAGGGTGCAATGCATTTAATCCATGACTGTTTGTGGGGCATTGTGTGAAAATTGACTGCCACATTCACCTACAAATACACAGTCACCACACTTTATAAAATCTTTGAGATGTTTCAACATTAGAGGTGCTACATTATTATAAATGACATTACATTGTTAAAATGGTTCATCTGCTTCTTCACCTGCCAACTGTTTCCTCCTTGAACAGTTTGCATTTATGATCACTCTGAATATTTTGATAAGTATCCAGACTCACCTGGACCTTTTGGCATGTGACTGCAGAAACATTTGGCAGAAAGTAATTGGGAATGAGGAGGAAGATCTAAAATGCCTTCTGTCGACTGAGTTACCAACAGACCCTCTGTGGAGCAGACTTCAGTATTCATTAGGGACTCAGTGTTGAATGACGGTGTATTTTCTTCCGATAACCAGGATTTTTCACTGAAGTCTGTGGTACCTTCTGAAATAAAAGATTTAAATCGTACATCAGCAGCCTGAATTTCTCAGGCCTTAAGAGCATTCTCTGAACAAGACTGAGGCTTCATTCAACAAGACCGAGGCTCTCCTGATTGGCTCCCGTCAGCGCCTCCTCACCTCAGGTGCTGACAGCATCACCATCCAAGGATGCAGACTCCACTTTGCTAAGCCAGTCCGGAACCTTGGCATCTTGTTTGACCCTCAACTTTCATTTCTACCCCACACCATGCCTTGTCCCGCTTTGCCTTCCCCCAGCTCTGCAACATCACCCGGCTCCACCACTGTCTCACACCGCAGGCCGCCGAAACCCTCATACACGCATTCATAACATCCAGGCTTGACTATGCAAGCTCCCTGCTTGTTGGCCTCCCCAACATCTCCCTGCAGATCTTCCAGAACGCTGCAGCCAGTGTCTTCTCCCGCAACAGGCTCCGTAACCCTATCACTCCCATCCTCCACTGGTTTCCCATCATACCAGAGGATACAGTTCAGGATGCTTGTCCTCACCTTCAAAGCCCTCCATGGCCTCGCTCCCCCCTACCTCTGTGACCTCCTAGCCCCCTACCAACATGCCCGCTCCCTCCACTCAGCGGGCTCCGGCCTGCTTCACATCCCCCGCACTCTGCCCCCACCCTCTGGAACTCCATCCCGCAGTCCCTCCGCCTCGCCCCCTCCCTTGCCTCCTTCAAGACCCATCTCAAAATCATTCTCTTCGACCTTGCTTTCGATCACCCTCCTTCCCCCAGTGCCCTCCACCCTTCCTAATTCCGACACCCAGCTCGGGACCGAAATACTGACTGTCCAGTTCCTTGGGACGTCCTCCCGACGTGAAAGGTGCTATACAAATGTAATTTTGTTGCTGTTGTTAACACTTTTTTAAGACTATGGAAGTTTGGAAAATAGCTAAATTCAGTCTTAATTTGGAAGCCAGTTTTCCACAGGTCTCTTTAAGAACTCCAGAAAACCAACTTTAAAACTAAAATTCTGCACAATCTCCAATTTTAAGGCAAGTTTTCTTTAAGCCCAAATCATGAGATTTTATAAGTTTAATTACAAATACTAAGTGTAGTGATTGACTAGTGGTACTGCAGGTTACTGTCTGCTCCATGTCCCCTGCCTCACCATCACTGGCTGAGCCTTCAGCCACCCGGTTCCCTGCTTTCTGAAACTCTCTTACATCCCTCTGTCTTGCACTCTCCCAACCTCTTGCTGGTGTCAGGTTGGCTCAGTTGGTAGCATTCTCACCTCTGGAGTCCGAAGGTTGTGGTTCAAGACTTTGAGAGTCTTGTACTCTTGAACTCTCTTGAGACTCAAGACAAACCCACATAATCTCACACTTGAATAGAGTGCTGGGGATGTGATGCATTGTTGGAGGCGCCATCCTTCAAATGGGACTTTAAACCATCTGCCTGTTCAAGTAGATGTTAAAAATTCCATGAAATTATTAAAAATTTGGAGGGTGACCCGGCCAACAATTCCCCCAGATAGAATTGGTCATTAATTTTGTGACTATTTGTAGGACATGCCTGTGCACAAATTGCCCATAAATACATACACTGCATTTTACAGTATATCCTATGAAGAACTTCAGGATGTCCTCCTAACGTGAAAGGCATTATACCAAATGTAAGGATTATTAGTAATTATTGGTATCATTTACCCTGGTTGTTGCTGAAGCTAGATTCAAAGTCACTGCCACCATCAATCCAAGAGGATTCTGCCAGGGGACACTCAGCCCCACTGAAGAGACTGCTGTTTAGCCATGAAACAGAGCTCTTGATGTTGAAAAGATTTGCTAATGATCTGCGGACACGTCTTCTACGCCGGAAAATCCTAGAAAAGAAAACAAAAGTTTTATTGCATTTGGTCTTGAGTAAGACAAGACTGAGGCTTGTGGTGGATTCTTTCAGTAGGTTGAGTTTTGGAGAGACAATTGAATACTATCACAGTCTAAGCCTAGCTCAGAGATCAGTATCACTGACAAGTACTCAAGCGTCCCCTCCCCCTCTTCTGCTCCACCTGTTGAACTTGGCAATCCACTAGAGAGGCATCTGCTGGGAGGTCGTACACAGCCTGCAACCGCATAGAAACTGACCATTTGGCCCAACTAGTCCATGCTAGTGTTTATACTCCACATGAGCCTCAACCCTCCTAATCTCCTCTCCCACACCCCTCTATTCCCTTTTCCCTCATGTGTGCATTGAGGTTCCTCTTAAGTATGTGTCAAGTAGGCTCAGTTGGTAACACTCCTGCTTCCGAGTCAGACGTTGTGGTTTCAAGCCCCATGTCGGGATTTGGAACTCATATAGACTAAGCTGACACTCCAATGTCGCGCTGGAGCTACGTTGTATTGTCAGAAGTCCCTCCTTCAAATGAGACATTCAAGATCCCATAGCACTATTTGAAAAGAAAAGAGAGTTTCTCACGTTATCCTGGCCAACAATCCCCCAAATAAAAATGGTTATTCGCTTGATGGCTGTTTGTGGAGCATTGCTGTGTGACAATTGGCTGCCGTGAATGCCCACCAAAAAAACATAGTCTGTTAAAAAAAGCAAATGCTTTGAAGTGTTTTGGGATAACCTCCCAATGTGAAAGGACCTATATGAAATGTACGTATTATTATTAATCATAAATACATTGATGATTACGCATATTGGCATTATTAATATCATAGTTGATTTCAAGATCCTCATCCTCACCTACAAGGCCATTCACGGCCTTGCTCCCTCCTACCTCTCCAACCTACTATCCCCCTACCTACCTGCCCGTACCCTCCGTTCCTCCGGGTCCGGTCTGCTCCACATCCCCCGCCCCAATCGCCCTACCATCGGTGGTCGGGCCTTCAGCCTCTCAGCCCCGAGGCTCTGGAACTCTGTCCCCCAGTGCCTTCGCCTTGCTTCCTCCCTTTCCTCCTTCAAGGCCGGTCTCAAAACCTTTCTCTTTGACCGAGCCTTCAGCTCCCCTCTCGACTCTCTTCCCCCTTCTCGCTCCCTCCCATCCCTCCCCTCACCCTGACCATTTCCCCCCTCCTCGCTCCCTCCCCTCCCCTCACCCTGACCGTTTCCCCCCTGCTCGGGTCATGACCCAACTGTGCAGCGCCTTGGGACGTCCTCCTGACGTGAAAGGCGCTTTATAAATGGAATCTTGTTGTTGTTGTTGTAGTTAATTCAGCAAGCGGGTGATCCTAATGTGGGAACCTCAACAGTGAATACTGACTCACGGTATAGTCATGTTCATTTAGCCATTGTTCACAGCGACAATCCCATCCTAAGCCAAGGAAATTCCAGTCAATGTCTCTTAAAGCTCATCTCCCAGCTATGATGGGCTGCTAACCACGAGTGCAATATGGATCTTGCTCTGATACGCAGCTCCACAGGCTGAGGCAAAATAGTGGAGAGACACCTACCTCACAAGGTTCTCCTTGTAACTGATGTTCATTTTGGATGGGGTCAGTGTGATATTTCCATCCTCATCCATAAAGCTCTCCTCACTCAGATCATAATAGCCATTGCTCAGCAGGCGAGGACTCCGACGATACACAAAAGGAGAACCAGTCACAGTGTTCAGGTTGAAGAGTCCACTGGGGGTTTCACCAGGTAGCAAAGAGAAGCTTGAACTGCAGGTAACATAATACAAGATTAGAAGAGAACTTTGGATGCAGGGATAACACTAGTCAAATGGGAAAATCTCTGTCCCCAATCTGCTCCTCAAAGTTCTACCAGGCTGCATAAGCAGTGGCCCGGAGCATTGCAAATCTACCTGACTCCAAAGCGGACTACCAAGAAGATTGACTCCCTGCTTATCTCCTGCTCCCATCCTCACCCCCTCAACCCCAGGAGGATGTTCACCTCACTGAAGGAACAGGAAAACAGGATTGTTACTTAATTGCTATACAAACAACCCTTTTCAGCCAGTTTCATGGGTTTTATCTGTTAAATATTAGTTTCATCTCAGTACATAATCATTACAATGCCTCTTCAGATTAGCAACTGAAGGAAATTCTTGCAATAAACTTCACCCCACAGATAAAAATATATTATGTGATGTTTACTGCCTGATGGATGCTAAAGAAAAGCCTCACTTGTGTGCAACAAAAACAGACACCCACCTGCTTATTGCACAAGTTTAGAACCACAGTTATTTGTGTTTAGGTAATCTGTGCACAATAGCAGATACATGAGTGCCGAGCATTAACATCTATTTATTTTGTATATTTATTTAGCACAGCATGTGTGGTAGCATGGCTCAGTTTATAGTACCTTTCCTCTGGGTCAAAAGGTTGTAGGTTCAAGCCTTACGTGGAGACTTTGCGAACTCACAATCTAGACTGACACTCCAGCTCAGTAGTGGTTTGAGAGGTGCTGGCCTTCAGAGAAGTTAAACTGAGGTCCTGGTCAGGTAAAAGTTAACAATCTCACTTTTTAAAAAGAGAAAGGAGTTCCTCCTAATGTCCTGGCTAACTATCCTCCAGATCAATTGATCGTTCACTTCATGACTATTATGGAGCATTGCTGTATGCAAATTGGCTGCCGCATTTGCCTCCATATATAGAGTACCACAGTTACAGCAAATAACTGTGAAGCACTTTAAGACGTTCAATGTTTAAGCACTACATTAAATGCAAGGATTATTTTCTATAAAGTCTGAAGTAGCCCTCAGATATACTGGAGCAATAAAATGCATCGCACTGAGCTTTCAATCCTTCAGTATTATAAGACAGCATCCAATTCAACAGCAAGAGCATAGACAGAGGGGCTAAGCTGGTAATAGGAACAACAGCCCTTAAACTTTTTACTGGGGTAGAATCAACAATTTCCATTTGGTTTGAAATGGTTCCCTGTTTCCGAGAAAACAGATCATTCAAACCAAGTGGGGCACTACACACATTGAGCTAAAAGTAGCAATCTTTTCATCACTTTCTTGCAATTGAATTTTTCATTGTAAGGTTTAATGATTGTTATTTTTACATATGATCAGATAATAGACCCCTTTGGTCCCTATGATGAGAGGAAAAATGCTAACCACTGCTAATAAATTCACAGTGACATTACCTTTGCAGAGCCTCGTCAGAAAACTCATCTCTGTCTGTCTCTTTCTGAAGCATCTGTGTACCTGCTGCAAACATTAAAAAATCAGAGTTAGTTAAAGGAACAGCCTCAAACCTGTAACCAAGGTGAAGATTACTATCAAACCCATAGATGGTTGAACTGCCTTCTGTAAGTTGAATGTGCCTGTTTTACATTAGTAGACATGTGAAAGCTGCTATGGTTTAATCTTTTCCCCAATGAGTATCTGAATATAACCAGCTCAGAGTTTCTAACTAGGAGCACTAGACCCTCCTGACAGTACAGTAGGGTTAGAAACAATCCCTTCTCTACATTGCAAGATTCAAAGGCACTGCTTATTCTTATTCCCTCCCATTCCAATCAATGGGAGAGAATAAGTCTAACTTATCACCACAGCTCACTCTTTCTGTATTGACATTCCTAGATTGTGAAATTGTTGATTGTTATATGGAGAGACTTTAATGATGTACATTTATAAAAGGATTCTCTCATTATAAGCACACATCATCAAAGTCACCATACTTTGTGATAAGAGGAACTCCCACAAAAGCAAAAGGCAGCTGTCAGCTACAAAGTATGGCTCCATTTCCTTTTTCACAAAGTTCAAATAGTTTCATCACTGTGCCTTAGGCTATAGCTCCACGAGCCTGCAATTGTTCACACACACTGGAAAATCCATGTTGGAATGATCATCGCTGGTAAGAAACATTTTCAAATAATTCTGATCTTATTTTGCAAAGTTTTTTTAAGCAAATCTCCAAAATAACTTATTGGGCATTAGTGATTCTACATTGTTAATTAGCCAGAATAGATTTCTTCATGTTGTGAAATGTAATTTCTCCTGTCAAAATAAGGTACATCTGTTCCCAGCGTCACCCAAGCTGAACTGGGCAGTAATGGCTACTCAGACGGATAAACCAGATAAGATTAGAAGTATTTACATCACTGTAGCTATTGAAACATTCAGATATAAATACTAGTATATTTTGCACTTAGTACTTAGACTCTAATACCCTGGTAGTCTAAATCCTTCATTACTGATTGACAAGGGAGTTTCATCCCAGTGTCCTGGCCAACAATCCCTCAGATAAAATTGGTCATTCACCTCATGGCTATTTTGCACTGCCGTGCTCAAATTGCCTGCTGCATTCAACTACAAGTTGCACAATCCCTACACTTTACAGTAAATCCTGTGAAGCAGTTTGAGATGTCCTGATATGAAAGGTGCCATATCGATTATTATGATATTCTCATGAGCGGCCATGGTGCATGAATCACTCCACTGCCGGCAATATTGTGTTCTCTGTTTCTGGCCAAATACCTCCCTCTAAAGTCACCCTCTGACATTCCACCAAAATTATTTTAAATAGTATTCCTAAATCACAGCTGGTACATTGTGCAGGATGTCCCATGACTCAGTCTACTTTCTGCAAGGAACGTAGGTTCCTTCTGATTACCACACGGTAAATAACCACATAGATGCTCACTATCAAATCTGACACATGAAGAATGGCACATTACATTATATCTCTACATCCAGGTAAATTTGGATGAACTTGCTGAACAATGTCCTACATCTAGGAAAGAATAAGTGGTTGAATGTAAACGACTATAATTGAGTTACAAAATATGGCACAATCAAGATGGGTTAAAACAAAGGTCTAAACCAGACACCGGTCTTAACTGTATTTGGGTCTTTTTAGCTGCCTTTAATATAATTTATAACGCTCTGGGACAACATCTGAAATGGGAAGAGAGGAGGAAAAACAGTGGTTTTCTCTCACCAGGTTATTCACATTAGCTTGCTCTTAATGAACAGCGCATCACAGTGTATCATTGAGTGATGGCCTTTTGAATGTTGAGTTTACCTTGTAGTGGTGACGAAAAATAAGGTGATGCTGGATACATTTCTGACGTTGTTTGTTATTCAAGAGTCAAGTATTGATGAGGAGTGAATACTGATCTATTAAAAACAAATAGATAGTTCAATTAAAATAAGATGACTGTTTCAGTAGACTCCTAAAGATTTACTTGAGCACTTCAACAATGAAAAACACACTTGCCTGAGCTGGTATTTTGTCTGCTGGAAATCTTTGTATTATTGCAAGTGTACAAACTGCAGGGCAACCCCATTACACCCCATCATTCTCGCCTTTGACTCAGAAGGTTGTAGATTCAACTTGGGATGTGTTGCATTGTCGAGGGTCCTACCCTTCGGATGAGACATTAAACTGTCTCCTCTCTCCCTGTTCAAACGGATGTTCAAGAACCCATGGCACAATTCAAAAAGGGTTGTTTTTCTGTGTCCTGACCAAAAATCACCCAAATAAAATTGGTCATACACTTCATGGCTGTTTGTAGGACAACAACAACAACAACAACAAGATTCCATTTATAGAGCGCCTTTCACGTCGGGAGGACGGGACACTGCTATGTGCAAATGGCTGCTGCACTTGCATATAAAATACACAATCACGATACAGTAAATCCTCTGAGAGAGCCTACCAACATGAAAGTTACTGTATGAAATGCAAAAATTATAATTTGTATTATTTATCTAATAATAATAATACTTGAATTTGATATAGCTCCTTATCACATTTTCAAGATGTCCCAAAGTGCTTCACAGAACATCCTGTAGACTGTAGTGATTGGTCCATAAACTCAGACCCCACATTAAAACAAAGTTAATTGATAGGAACTGAGCAGAGCAAGATTAGAACCAGTGACCATCCCACCCTATGGTCCTAAATTCTTAGTATGCAAGCACCTAGAGAGGTTTTGCAAGGAGGGCGCTAAATAAATGCAAGTTGTTGTTGTTTCAAGGTTATATTGTTGCAGTAATGCTAGCCTAGAAGTTGAAAAGTGTAAATAAATCCAAAGGATGGTCAAGAACTGTAGAAAACTGGCTTCCAAAATAATGAATTTAAGAATCGATTCCAAAAATCTTAAATCTTGTGACTTAGAACATGAGAATTTCCAGCCCAATGTTAGATACTGATATCTGTTAGTTATCGCGATAAATGTCTTTCTTTGTTAGTAATGTTTTGTTTTCATTATTTGTTTCTTTATTTGTTTATTTTATTATTATTATTTAAAATACAGTAACAAATAAAGCACATTTAAAAAAGGAAAACATTCCCTCAGGAAAGCAAAAACCCTGAGATTGGCCTCTGAAGAGTGATTTCCGTTTAGGTTAACATTCTGCCTCCAGGAGGGAAAGTGAGAGAGCACATGCACTTCAAATAAAACACTGCTCCAGTTATTTCAGTGCATCGATGAAGTCATTGTAACTTCAGAATGCATACGTTTGGACAGCCTTTATCCCATTAATCTGCAGACAGACTGGTTACAGTCTGCAGTACAATCTCATAGTAGCCCGGATGGATAGTCGGTGGGAGTCATGCCCACAAACAAAGTGAACGGAGTTTGAGATTTATTTTCAGTCGAACGAGGGAACGGGACATCAGCTCTAAAATTCCCCAGAACTTAAAGGAAGTTTTATTTATAGAACAGCTACACATTCCCATGATCTGCAGCCTTCTCCCCTCCCGTGCTCCCCTCCTTCCCAAACTATTTTCTTTCAACCTATTGCACAATCCAGAGCTGTGCAGCCAAAATGAGGTCAGTGTTATGCTCTTGCTCAGACAGTGCTCAAGTGAACTAACAGATTGATCAGTGATGGCTGTATGCAGAGCTCTGATGCTTTTCCCTTTATTCCGCAGAGAAACGTCTTCCAGCCAATAACTTCAGAATGTCACAGCCCACATTATTTCTATTTCATCCACTAACCCTTAAGCGCCAGGAACGCTTGTGTTCAATTTCTAAAGGCTTCTTCAATTACATAAACATCTTTACAGGAGTAACGATACTAACTTGGTTTGAACTGTGCTCATTACGTAAAATTAAACGTCTCAAAGTGCTCAATAAAATGCAGTTGATTAGAAATGAAAGTGAACCTTATATAGGTAAAACAGCAGCTAAACTGCATCAGCACATCTCATAAACAAAAATGAGAATGGATTTTAGTATCAGCCACTTAGACACATTCATTAACCACTGTAAACAGACACACTACTTACTTGTCAAAAAAAATTAAGAGGTATATTTGTTTGTTTAAAATACAAAAATACATTATTAGTAGTGGTCATGCTCAGAGGGATCACTGGACAATGAAAGAGTCGACATGATCAAGGCTCCTGAATATACAGGGGTGACTCAGATAACGAGTTTACTTAAAAACATTCAACTATACACATTCACATCATTGCTATCCTGCTCATAGGTCCTCGAAGAGTTAAGATGAGGTCACGGTCTGCATTTTATGTTCAGCGCTGGACTGAAGTGTCAAATATTTTCCCTCTTCCCAACCCCAGGTGTTTATCCCAGTTTTACCATGACGTTATTATATAACGCACACAGACAAATCAAGACACCTTCTATACCTGCCACTGAATTAACAAGGTTCTCATCGCTACAACAGTAGTGTACCTTGTATTAGGAGAGAAAGTGCTGAGGAAGTCTCCATAGCAACTCCTTTGTCTACAATGACTCAAACCTTACCTCTGTCTTTTGCAAATGAAAATTCCTGTTTATCACAGTAAACAAGGCAAGCTTCGAAGCGAGTACTACATTATTGTAAAACATAACAGTCCCATCAACCCAGATATTTTAAACAGTTCTGAACGTGTTATTGCTACATTCTGAAGAACGGTTTGGTTAGTTGATGTCCAAAGCTTTATTCACTTGCCGAAATCAACTGGAGAGTCAAAATAAAGAGAAGAGCCCACACATGCCTGAAAATCCAAATTAAAAATAAAGGAAGTGCCTGAAATGCATGGCAGATTTATCAGCACTGAAACCAAAAAAAGTTAATATTCCTCTAGTATAAAATTTCTCATAAACCTAACCTTAAGACTATTTTGTCTTAAAAATTAAAACCATGCAGGATATTAGAAAATTGTTACATTTAGCTTTATCTCAGAAGCCAGTTAAAATAATAACAATAATAATCTTTGCATTTGATACAGCACCTTATCACGTCAGACGGACGTCTCAAAGTACTTCACATTGTTGACCAGGATACCAGGAGAAACTCCTGTCTCTTTTTGAATCTTTAACCCTGAACCGTCCACCTGAACAATTTTCCTCAGCTCCTAAAAATAAATGGCTTTCAGTTTAAGACTGAGATGAAGACTTTTTCAAAAATTCTGCGCAATGTTAAATTTTAAGGCAAAATGGTCTTACGGTCTGAGACTAGGTGAAATTTTAGTTCCTTGGGTATGGCTCTTCATCATGTGCTCTGGCAAAGAGGCGTGCCTGAAACACTAACCTGTCTTCCTCTTTCAGACACTCTCAAAATGCCTCTGGGCTTCCCGGCTGTGTACACTAATACCATTTCATATTAAAATGTGCAACATAAAAAGACAGGTGTAGGGAATATCACATAATTATAGCCTGTATAGGGAGTACTAGTCTCCTGAAACAGACAACAAATGAGTCCTGAAATCAGGTTTCACTCAGGGGAGTTTAATGTCTTCCTCTATGCTGTCTCCCCTGACAACTGAAGCTGCCAAAAAAAAGCACTAATTGAAAACAAAATTAAACCACTTCACATGAACTGCAGCTTTATTACATTGGATAAATGGAGTGGTTTTGGGGGGGAATTTGAACAATTCACAATTGATTTGAATAATGTTAAGAAAATGCTGGAATTTTGCTAGCGCTCTCCTACTATTGCCCTGGAGTTTCAGCCTAGACGTTGAGCTCAAGTCCTGAACTTGGGGTTTGAACCCATATTAGGAACCTATTAAAGTGCTGAGTGTAGTACTAAAGAACCTTCTGACTCAGATGAGAGTATTGACGAGCCAGGCTGGCACCAGGATCAAAGTAAAAAGTAAATAGTCCAAGTTTTTGAAGCAGTTCACTTTTGTCTTTACACCATTTGTCATGGTTTGGTCTTATTTGATCCAGTTTGTGTGTGTGAGCACTCACATTAGCTGTACAGACTTGATGTGGTTAATTCCGGAAGCAGCTCTCTACTTCTTATGTCTGTTTGGCAAGTCTGCGATTCAAAAAGGACTACACAGATAACCAGATAAAGCATGGTGCAATCAGCTGAAACACAATACAAGCAAGTCATAAAGCAAGTCATAGAGTATCACACACAGCACATTACATTTTCCTACAGTACTGAACACTGTCTTTTCACTCTAGCGTTCTGCGCACACATTTTGAGCTTTTCTGCAAGTTGAACAGCTTGTTTGATGCACCCCTCTATGTCAAAGAACGTCATCCGGGTGCAATATCTGAAGAGTTTTCTAACAAACTAAATTGCTCAAACAGATGACTACACATGCCTGCAATCACATGTAAAACACCCTGGAGCTGTGTTAAGAGGGTCTTTCATCAAAACAGGTCATCCTTTTTACCACACGGAACAAATGTCACTACAAATAAGTGATGCTCAACGGGTCTGTTGTTTTATTCACCAAAATCAGTAACTAAATTCCAGAACTTAAAATTCTTAACATAAGGAAACACACACACACACAACATTTCACTGGTTCTGGGAAATTTTAAAGCATAATTATTAAACTGCATGAGAAATTTGACAAAATCTTGCAGCATACTAGGCCAGAAATTCCGCCTTGTCTTCGGCTGCCAAGTCATTTTCCACAATACTGCTTAAAAATTGTGCAAAACTTATTTCCATGTTAAGGCTGAATTTTAAAAAAATTCTACAATTCTGCATTACCTTAAATTTTAAGAGAAAATAAGACTTGGTGGAATTTTAGACCTAGAATTTTTAAACTACTCATTTAGTGGAAAATCACACCTTCAATTAAGAGTTCAATTGACTGATAAATATCTGAGCAAGGCATCTAAACAAGGACTTCAGAGGCATCACAGTTTTATGTTTTCAGACTTAAGAATGTTGTCAGAACTCAAGAAAATTCTTCAATTTAGTCGTGATTTTCGGGAAATGTTCTTTCTGCAATGATAACATATTTAAGACAATGGTCCTTAGGTGAAGACTATGAGAATTGTAAGACGTCTGATTTCACGGGATTTAAGACATAATGATCATCCACAATTCTCCTTTGAAGTCACGTGCGAGTGTTTTTCAAATGTGACCATGTAAATGTCTTGGAGTAGCTTTAATCAGATTAAAGTGTATAGCACTGAATATACCTCTGATGCCCTACTTACACGACAGGAAGTAATGTGGTATCTAGCTGCAGAGCAGAGAGACCGAAGTGTAGGGCCTGCTCCCATCACTCTATTTGACATTAATTTTTGTAGACCTGGTTATCAATTTTGTGATGTTAATGCATCAGATCCTATTCCCACAATGTTGCCATTAGTTTTCGATCCTTTTTTTATCCCACATCTGTGTCATGACCCGCTCTGCCTTCCCCACCTCCACAACATCGCCCAGCTCTGCCACTGTCTCACACCGCAGGCTGCCGAAATCCTCATACACGCATTCATTACATCGAGGCTTGACTATGCAAACTCCTTGCTTGTCGGCCTCCCCAACTCCTCCTTCCACAGGCTGCAGATCATCCAGAACTCTGCAGCCCGTGTCCTCTCCTGCACTAGGCTCCATGAACTTATCACCCCCATCCTCGCCCGACTCCACTGGCTTCCCATTACACAGAGGATACAGTTCAAGATCCTGATCCTCACCTTCAAAGCCCTCCATGGTCTTGCTTCCCCCCGACCTCTGCGACCTCCTAACCCCCTACCTCGCTCCCCCCTACCATTTTACTCACTCCCTCCGCTCAGCGGGCTCTGGCCTGCTTCACATCCCCCGTCTCGTTCGCCCCATGACTGGCGGGCGGGCCTTCTGCCACTCTGCCCCCACCCTCTGGAACTCCATCTCGCACCCTCCCTTGCCTCCTTCAAGACCCATCTCAAGACCCTCCTCTTCGACCGTGCTTTCGATCACTCTGCTAGTGTACTCTATCTGGGTCCTAAATGTCAGTAGACACAAACTTATCAACACAATCCACGTTCATAGCGAATGCCATTACATTGAAAGATTAACCAATGTAACACTATTAAAGTTAGCGAGAAACAATGTGCATCTACTTGCAGGTGTATTTCACATTCAGAATCAGGTGTAGGAATCTACAGAAACGACAGAATCTGCCAGACTAAAAAATAATGTAAATCCTAGACTACTGTATCGTGCTACTTAATCACATGATTCACAAAATACTTAATTTAATTCCCTCTTGCATTTGCTGATACACTCTTCCTACATCTCTTCCCAGGGTAGTCTCCCAAAAAGGTAAACTACAGTTAACAATAATTACAGAACTTGGGAAGCACTTTGAGACGTTTAAAACTTTTGACATATGAAGGTGCCATAAAAGTGCACGCTCTCGCTTACCCTGTTCCATATAGACCCCACTCTCTCTGTATTAAGTACAGTACATTTATTATTATTATTATTGATATTATTAATTAAGTCTTCTCTGCTACCCTTCAGCCTATGTCTCCTTTACCCTTTGTAACAGACTTTTGACTGATTGTATTAGATCTAATTATTAGGGTTCGGTTTTACTTTACCATTCGATTCTCATAGAAAATTATAATCTCATTTGTGTGGAATACAATTTTTTTTAAAAAAAAACCAAATCAAGCGAAAGGGGCGAATTAAATGCAATCCAAATATTCCATTTTTAAACTAAAAACAAAAACTCAAATATTTCCAAGGATAACTTTTGTGTGTGTGTGTGTGTGGGGTGGGGGGGGGGCAGAGGATTGATTGTTACCTTGGGATAGCAGAGCGAAAGCCTTGGCTGGAGGAGCTATTAACGATGAGGAGTGAAGCAGGGGAGGGCAGCTGTGACCTGGCTGTGGCTGTGGGGGGTGCAGGACAGCTTCATCCCTGGTTTACTAACCCGTTAGAAGCAGAGCCACACAATGGAGAGGGAGAGTGACGGGGGAGAGGCTCTGAGGCTCTGACAGCCGCCCACCTCCCCTCCCCTCCCCTCCCGGCTCGGCTCGGCTCGGCTCGGCGCTGTGCCACCAGGGCTGACGGGGTGTGCACACGCTGATGGCCGGACCCTGGACGTTTGCCGTTGCATTTGTGCTGTGGTGGGACAGTGCGGGGACTCACTCTCACAGACTCTCCGCTGCACAGCACTGAAGGGACGCACCCACTCTCCAGCACTACTGCAGCAGCGCCCAGGTCCTAGAGCCCAGACAGAGATTGCACCTGGGGGTCAGAACTGGCTCCTTTATTTGTTTTGTTCTTGGCATTTCAGAGGGGGTACATATTGGCTTCATTCTGAAACGTCATCCCAATTTTCAGTGATTCCCTTTCTTTTTTCTGCAGCTCTGCACTGAATATGCAGACAATCGTCTTCGAAGTTAAGGCTGAATTAACAATCTGTCCCAAAGTATCTGGAATAGGCCATTCGGTCCCTCCAGCCCGTCCTGCCATTCTTTTAGATCACGGCTGATCTGCACCTCAACTCCAATTTAAATTAAAACATTTAAGCNAAAAAAAAAAGGCGTAGGGTAATTCCAGTCACACCAAAGTAAATGTTACTTACTTGATTTGATATTACTTGATTTATGCCAGTAGCCAACCATCATAGACTAGGCAGGCGGCTTCACGTCACAACGTTGTTTTGCTTTAAAAGAGACATAAAGTAAGAGAGAGCTGAGAATCGGAAATTCCTTTAATCTTTCTCCCATTTCCTAACTTTTAAACCTCTCATAAAAACATTATTCTTTGACCGTGCTTTTGGGCAACACCCTCAAATTTCCTTTCTTTTCCTCCCTGCTCGTTCAAGCACTCTGGGGCACTGCCTTGGTTGAGGGGTGCTAAATAAATGCACGTTTTTGTTTTGTTGTCAATATCCATTATCTTTGTAAAACACATTTCCTACATGAAAGCACAAATTGTTGTTATCAACTACAGGAACATAAACTGGGATACAGACAATTGGGCACACAGAAACGCACTGCTCTTTTTGGTCTTAAACAACAACAAATTGAATTTATTTTGTTTGAATTTGTTTTTAAAACAAACTACCTTCCAACCACACAACAGCTCTGGTTAAAAGGGTGGATGACAGACTCCCAGGAGGAGCAGGAGAGGCTTGGCAACAGCAAACCTTGTAATATTCCCACTCCTGCAGGAACAATCCAGGCTGCTGTTTAGGAAGGATTACTCTGTATTGGAGAAACATGACTCCAAATGTATTCTTTGATGAACACAACAGTAACATTATATTAACTAGGGGTCAGTTGTTAAAACCACTGCCTAGTGCGGAATTGAGTTGAACAGACTAAGGACATGGCAAGTCTGAACCCTAGTCTGTGCTGAACTTGCAGGGGAAGGACTAAGGGAACAATAATTGATCCCAGCTGCCCCTGGGCTAGTGAAGGGAAAATGTCAGCCAGGGATCCTGTTTCTGATAATTATCCAGTGTGTTTTGCTAGAAAGTGGATGTACACAGATATCTGAAAGTAGTCTGTGAAAGTAATTAAAGGAAGATCAATTAAATTAAATATAATAGATGCAAATATCATGACAGCTGTGTGTCCCCTTTGGTAGTCGAGTGATAGTGCAATGCTACATTTATTTTTGATTCAAAAGCTGTCCTGGTAGCTTTTTATTAATGCCACGTGGACTAATTTGCAGATGCAGATAGTCAGGAAGCATCAAATAGTGAAATTAAGTGGACTCTGAATCCTCTCCACCCCAGATGTTACCCTGTACAGGGAGTTAATTAACCAGATATTTTGCTCATAGCTGAAGGCTCCAACACTACTAAGATTCAGCTGGTGTTTGATTTAGGATAACACTTGATCCTCTAAATTATGTTCCACTGTATGGAGCGTTGTACTGTCAGAGGTTCCATCCTTTGGATGAGATGTTAAACTGAGGTCTCATCTGCCTGTTTGGATATATGTTAAAGATCTCATGACACTGTTCAAAAAGAGATGGGAGTTTCTCACAGTGTTTCTGATCAATAATCTTCCAGATAAATTTGGTCATTCACCTTGTTGGTTGCTTGTGGGGCATTGTTTTATGTAAATTGGCTGCCGCAATGCCAATAAATACACATTCACTACACCTTACAGCAATTCCCTGCAAAGCGCTTTAAGACGTTTCAAGTTTATAGGTGTTAGATTATCATTATTATATTATTATATTTTTTTATATAATATATAATAATAATAATGTAATAACATATTATATTATTATCATCTTCTAACTCTTTGTAAATATTCAACCTTAGATACATAGGTCTTTTAAAACAGAGTGTGAACATCACAAACTTTTCTTTTGTATCACCGTCTTGTCGCAATAGTTTTTGTCAGAAAATTGCAAAATAAGCTGTCGTGTGCAGGGATAGGATTCAGGATCATTATAAAGAAGACAGAATCTACATGTTGCAATCGAAATATTCACTAAAAAACTAAAACATGCTGAGGACCAGGACGTATCAACACAGTAAAATAACTCGTTAGGGCTCTAGGACCAGGAGGAAGCCTTTCCCACAACAGTAGCATCATTCAAAAGAGTCGTTTGAATCGGGGAAGTGATCTCAGTCAGAGGTTATAACGGATTGAATTCTGGCACACAAATTGTGATTTTTTAAAAAATGGTGCCAACATGCACCAAATTTGCAAAATCTCGCTTTTCCTCTGAGTTTCGCTATAAATAGGAAAGCCCAGCACACAACAACAACAACAACAACATGCATTTATATAGCGCCCTTCATGCATGGTAATGCATCATGCATCACTCCCACCCTCGCTCGCCTCCTGATTGGCTCGCGTCAGCGCCTCCGCACCTCTGGCGCTGACAGCATCAGCATCCAAGGCTGCACTCTCCACCTCTCAAAGCCAATCAGGAACCTCGGGGTTCTGTTCGACCCTGAGCTGTCCTTTCTCCCTCATATCCGCGCCATCACCTCCGGAATATCACCAGACTACGGCACTACCTCACCCCTCACGCTGCTGAAACACTGGTCCACGCCTTTATCACCTCAAGGCTGGACTATGGGAACTCTCTCCTCGCCGGCCTTCCCGCACCTCCCTCCACAAGCTGCAGGTCATTCAGAACTCTGCAGCTCGTGTACTGTCCCGCACCAGGCTTCGGGACCACATCACTCCCACCCTCGCTCGCCTCCACTGGCTCCCCATCCCCCAGAGGATCGAATTCAAGATCCTCATCCTCACCTACAAGGCCATTCACGGCCTTGCTCCCTCCTACCTCTCCAACCTACTATCCCCCTACCTACCTGCCCGTACCCTCCGTTCCTCTGGCTCCGGTCTGCTCCACATCCCCCGCCCCAACCGCCCTACCATCCGTGGCCGGGCCTTCAGCCTCTCAGCCCCGAGGCTCTGGAACTCCATCCCCCAGTGCCTTCGCCGCCTCCTCCCTTTCCTCCTTCAAGGCCGGTCTCAAGACCTTTCTCTTCGACCGTGCCTTCAGCTCCCCTTTCGACTCTCTACCCCCTCCTCGCTCCCTCCCTTCCCTCCCCTCACCCTGACCATTTCCCCCCTGCTCGGGTCCCGACCCAACTGTCCTGCGCCTTAGGACGTCCTCCCGACGTGAAAGGCGCTCTATAAATGAAATCTTGTTGTTGTTGGTAGCGTCTCGGAGCGCTTCAGTGGCAGAGCCTGGTGCCCAGCAGGGTAGAGGCTATAATAGGCAAGGTCCTCAGATGTGATCTGAAGACAGGGAAGGAGAAGGCAAGGCAGAGGGATTAAGGAAAAGAGATACATAATTCAGGGGGCACTGGCTGAAAGCACAGCCACCGATGGTGGAGCGGAGGGGACGATGGATGTGCAAGAGGCCAGAGCCAGCTGAAGGAGTGGGTGGTGGAGTGGGCAGTTAACAGATCGGAAATGTAGGGGGATGCCAGGGCATGAAGGGATTTGTACATGAAGGTGAAGTATAGAAAATGATGCATCTAACTTCTGCGTCACATCTCTACAAGAAGTTAATTAGATAGGTTTTTGAAGATATTAACATTTCCACAAGTGGAATCAGTATCTACGTTTAAATGTTTTTTTATGAGAAATAAATGGGGGCCAGCTGTAGGATACTGATCATATGCTGAAATATGACCATGTTTAACATTGACTGGTATTTAGATTGACTGCAGCTCTAGGATATTGTTATTTGTTACCTGCAGTCTCTCTTAATTGTCTCAATTTACATTTAAATTAACGTTTAATTTACATAACAATTTACAGTTAAATTAACAACTGACATATTGAGCTCAACAACAACATTATTTTGTTACTTTGTCATTTTCGGCCCTAACGTCTATTGTCATTCTCTACTTTTATTTCCACCCTTTCAATGTCACTTATGCCATTTTAATTTGGAAGTTAATTTTTCAGAGGTTTTTTTGGGTTATGTGAGAAAACAGCTTCTAACTGGGAATTAATTTAAGCCTTTTTTTCTCCCCATCTTAATTTTGAAGATTTTCTTCACCTTAAGAACATGGGAATTTAGACCTTTGAGATTCTATGTGCAGAACAAAAATGGGAAGTCCCAGTGATATAAAGAATGTGGTTGCTTTATTGTAATACTAATGGTGGGATTGCACTATTACCTATTTGTAGAGGAGACTGCTTCTGTGATACCACCTGTGTTTTTCCAAACTATCCAGTTTAAACTTCCAAAAATGAGCAGCAGGAAAACAATGGGATGTTAAACGAAGGCTGATCCACCTGTTCAGGTGAACATTTAAGATCCAATGACGCATTAGAAAAGAGAAGGGAGTTTCTCCTTGTGACCTGGACAACTATCCCCCAAATTGGTAAAATTCACTTCAGGTCTGTTTGTGGGACACTGCTGTATGCAAATTGACTGCTGTGTTTGCCTACAAAATGCACAGTCACTCCATGTTACAGTGAATCCTGTGAAACACTTTGATACATTTTGACAATGTGATAGGTGCTAATATCAAATGCAAGAAGTATTTTTACTAACAAT